AAACGAACATTTTTACTATATAAACTGTAGAATCCCCTTAACAGAAGGGAAGATTCTAGTGAAGTGACGCAGGGGGTTCAAAATTTCGTTTACATTATTTGCTCAAATCTCAAGTGTAACAATCTAGTATTTCTTTTGAATCCCCTTGCATAAACTTCTACCTCCGCCACTTAGTGTGTTAGTGGTTTTCTTTAACCCATATAATTGTATCGGAAAGAAAGGAAAAAAGTCGTAAGTAATTGGATTGAACTTTGTAATTAACTGATCAAATATGCAATATAGTGATCTGGATTCACTTTACAATTGACGCTAGGGAACATGAGCATGGACTCTGCAACTCGTGGTCTTTTCTCCAGTTTTGTTCTTCAAAATCATTAAATGCTAGTGTCGTCCAAGGTAAAACGTGCTTTTAGTTCAGAGCACTAAGAGGGAAAACATTATGTACTAATTGTAATAAAAGCTCCTAAATATGTGTGCGCACATGCACGTCACTTACTACTACATACAAACAAATGTCTAATGTAATGTTGTACCATGTTAATAATAGGTGTCTATTTCTTTGCTTTTACGAACTTATCTTTTCCTCAAACCAGGATATTGGAGGCTGTGACATACAAAAGCAGGAAATCCGTGAGGCTGTTGAGTTACCTCTGACTCATCACGAGTTGTACAAGCAGATTGGTATAGATCCTCCCCGTGGTGTCTTGCTTTATGGTCCACCAGGTACCGGGAAAACTATGCTTGCAAAGGCTGTCGCTCATCACACTACTGCTGCCTTCATAAGGGTTGTTGGCTCAGAATTTGTTCAGAAGTACTTGGGTGAGGTATGTATTGAAGTAATGGGATAGTCTGAGCAGTTATTTTTGTGCATCGATGAATCGTTACTCACCCATTTGTTCTTTCTTCAAACTATCTTGATTGTGTCATTTCAGATTAAAAAATGGATTTTAAAGTATTTGTTTCCATCTTGGAAGAATCTTGGAGAAAGAAAGTATTTGCTTCTTGTCCAAGACTTCTTTTGCCCTTTTAAATTTCATGATTCGTGACTTTTTTCGTGGTGTGAGAATAAGGCAGTTAATTGTTGTTACCTTTGTCCCAAATTGTATATATTGTTCTATTTGCAATAGTTAACTTGGTTAATTTTTGTAATCTAAGATCAAAGATTAGTTCATTAATTATTAAAATGACAATTATCCTCAGGCATCTTACAGACCTTGTGAAAAGAAGGCAACACTAATATAATTCACTAAAAGATGGGGGACATGGAATTCTGCTGTCCCAATCAGGCTGAGTAGCAAAACATGATATACAAGAAAATATTTTGTGAAACTAAGAACATCCTACGCAAGAACCATTTGTTGATATTTGGAAGTGTCTGTAGAGACAAGCCATTATTTTTGGGAAGAGGGGGGGGGGGGGCGGCTCTTTTGTTTTTCCTTTATTTTTTTCGGGATAAGTTAGAGACGGACCAGCTTTCCGCACCCAATCAAGTAGAACAGTTCTATTATGTCAATATGCAGCTTGGAGTGCAATATTGTACATTTTGTCGCGTGTATCATGTTGAACAGAACTGTTTTATTGGGGATGCTACATCGGATCAATTTATAATTTCCTGTACACAGATTTGTTTTTCTTTAAATTTCCTTTTTACTCCTGAGTTAAGAGTGACAAAACTCGGTCAATTTTACATTCCATGAACGATGACGAGACTCCATTTGTTTCTATTACTCGAGCTTTAATTTTCTCATTTACTCTCCGACTGTGCAGGGTCCTCGAATGGTTCGTGATGTCTTTCGCCTTGCCAAAGAAAATGCTCCTGCAATCATATTTATTGATGAGGTAGATGCAATTGCAACTGCCAGGTTTGATGCTCAGACTGGAGCTGATAGGGAGGTCCAGCGTATCCTCATGGAGTTGCTAAATCAGGTAGGCTTCTGTTTATTCTTCTGAAGTAAGTAATCTGTCAGAATGCATGCACTTTGAATTGTTTATGAAGTTTCTTTGGTGTTTCTCCTGCAGATGGATGGATTTGACCAGACCGTGAACGTGAAAGTTATTATGGCAACTAATAGAGCTGATACTTTGGATCCTGCACTCTTGCGTCCTGGAAGGCTTGATCGGAAGATTGAATTTCCTTTGCCTGATAGGCGTCAAAAGAGACTTATTTTTCAGGTAGAATTTTTGATGACTTTGTATAAGGATTTCTTCTTTAATCCTATTCCCCAGCACCAAAGAAAATAATTTAAGAGTGAAAAATTGTGGAAGGAAGTTTTGAGAGATTGGTTTATGGATTGTGTATCTCATTCATTATCCTAGATTTTTCTGTGTTCCCATAACAGACCAAAATTTCTTAAAGCTGGATGATTTTTGTCCAGGTCTGCACTGCTAAGATGAACTTAGGTGATGAGGTCGACTTGGAAGATTATGTTTCTCGCCCTGATAAAATTAGTGCTGCTGAGGTTTGTCTCTTTACTCTTCATCTGTTTTTGAGGGAGAAATAGGATGCTCCACTACTGTTCTAAATTTAGAAGTCAGGCTAAATAGTTGTTTTATATCGTGCTGTGTCTGGTTTTGTCCTTCAATTTCCGTACAACATGATTGTGATGCATGTTGCAACGTCTGCAGATTTCAGCTATTTGTCAGGAAGCAGGTATGCATGCAGTGCGAAAGAATCGATATGTCATACTCCCCAAGGACTTCGAAAAGGGCTACAGGACCAATGTGAAGAAGCCTGACACTGACTTTGAATTCTACAAGTGATCTGTAAAATTAGTTTAAGAGATCGACTTTGTACGCTCCTCTGAAGACCTTCTAACTGAAGTTATAGTTGTACTGTTAACTTTTCAAACATCAAATGGCTTGTACCTTCTTAGTTCAGTCATTTGTTCGTTCATGAAGTGTTAACAAGCCGTCTGGATCGATTTGACATGCTGAATTCTCATTTGTTTTGCATATTTTCTCAAGCTGCATAAATCATTCTCATGGTGGCAGAGCATCAGATCTTTTCGGGCCGTTCAATTGCTGCATTTTGTGGGATGGCCTATGCCTCGCTTTTGTTACTTAATGTTTCATTGCCCCTTGAATCTTTTGTTGGCGTTTCCAACCTCAAGTCACTGAGCCCGAAAATCTCAGAACTAATGATAATGTCAATTGTCAAGTACTATGTTCCTAGTACGTACTAGCTGAAAGGTACTACCTTGTCCCTTTTTTCCGACATCCGAGATTTGGTATTGGCTTGATTAATCCAGATTTGCTTAGCGTAAGACTTATTATCCGAGAGAGAACTTAAGTTAAAGTTAAAATAATAATTCTAGTGCAAAAGTTAAAACTCATCTCATCATTTACGTTTAAAGCTGTTTCAGCACATGCTTTCTGTTGCGCTTTGATTATCAAAAGCGGAATCGTGAAGCACCATACTATTTACCATTTCAATATTATGATTGTGTAAAAAATATTTATATGATTAAATCATTTATAAGTCTCTGATAAAATTGATTAATAATCTTGTAAAATTGGTAACTAACACGTTATAGCAATTGGTTAACTTAATACCCTAAGTCAATGTATACAACTGTTTTAACATCAAGTTCATCATTTTACTTCCTTAGCAAAAGATTAATTCTATATCAGACAACATATGACAAGAATACCCTAAATTTTTAACAGTATCTTTCAAGCAATTCATCAATTTGACAATTGCCTTTTGTACACTTTGATGAATGACGCTACGAATTTAACCTCCTCCTTAGCTTCTCTCACGGTCTCACCACAGCCATGTGAATAAACTAACGTACCATGTAAATTCTATGTGCTTTATTGGAGACCATGTGTTTCATTCTTTCCTTCTGCTTTTCTTGGTATTATTTATTTATTTGTGGTTTTTCACCTGGTGTTTAGTACCTGTATTGGTGCCCGATTACATCACACCCCTGGGGTGTATGCCCTTTCTCGTCTCCGCGAGAACGCGGGATGCTTCGTGCATGGGCTGCCTTTTTTTGGCGATCAACTAATTGGTATTCACGCCACATAAGGTCCATTAAAGGAAAAATGTGTCCTACTAGAATTTTTTTCATTTCTAAAATTAGAACTTGAGACCTCTTATTAAGGGTGAAGTGATGTTATCCATTACTTTACCGTCCGGAAACAATCTTATTTTTCTCTATCTGCTTCGTCGAAGTCGGAAGGAGATCCTTTTTTATCGGTATGTCATTACTGCTTGAATGAATACCTTTACTTCGGTTAGCTTTGCTTGACTAATTATGGAAAATCTATCTTCTTACTTTTTCTTTCTCGTCTGAAGGCACAAGTAGGTTTATGATTGATTTATGTGAACTACTCGATATTTTGACGGAATCATTAATAAGACAAATTCCATAGGAGATCAACCTTTGGTGATTCTTCTTTTGGGCACTTTGTTTTTCCAAGCATGACTAGCGGAAGAATTACTTTGTCGAGAGAAGCCTAAGAAGTATTAACCAAAAGACAAGCATGTTGGGTCATAATAAATTGTTAATTGTCAAACAATAAAGATAGTCAGGTCTTCAAATGTTTACCAAAAGGAAGATAGAAGACGCATTGGAGAAAGAAAAAGAAAAGTGGGGTACAAATATTTGTTTAAAGGAGAGATAAGAATATTCATTTAAATGTTCTAAATAAAATATTAGACCAAGTAAAATTGTGGTAATCTTTTTGATTCAGAGTTGATACTTCTACATCAAACTAAGCTAAAATTGTCACCCACCAATAGAAAAGAATTGGAAAAAAGATATTTAGATACGGAAAAATTTATCTGGTATGTTAAATCAATAAATATATAACATGTGTCTTCTTATATATGCCTATCTATAATTTAACCATAGGTAATAAGTGTATAGTCTCATTTCATTCATATTGTGAAAAATTAATGTGATTTGATTTATTCAATTAAATATACACCAACTAACCCTCTACCTCCCCCTCAAAGGAGTAATTGTCAAACTCATTCTTCTTGTGATGGTGATCTAACTTTCCCTCACGAGTTCCAACATCATTTCCGAGTTTTCATACATATATTTTTTTCATCTATAACTTCTGTAAGTTTATGGAATTGTGTGTCGCCCATGTGAACCGATCCGATCCAATCTTATTTGACCCGTAAATAAAGAATTATTTGTTTTCTAAATAAAGGATGAACAATTCTGTTATAACTGTTCAACCTTATCCTTAAAAGGAGGGGGAACAATTATAACTGTTCAAATCCTTTTTGAAAAGGAGAGCGAACGGTTATCTAATAACTGCTCAACCTCTCCTAATAAAAAGGGAAGTCTTCTACTTCAAAAGAGAGAGCACGAGAGACATTACGTAGAAAACAAAAGGAAAAACCGAAAAAGAAGGAAAAAACAATCCTAACTTTCTAGATTACATCATCACACTAAGAGATATTTAGTTTGTGAACTTTAACCTTGATTTCCTAGTGAAATCAAAGGAGACTTGGGGCAGACTCTTATGTTAGCAACAACAACAATATCCGCTGCGAATTTAAGGTACACAATCCATTGTTTTTTCTCCGAATTATATTACATTCGTATTAGATCATGGTTGAATGATCCAGTTATTCATGTCAATGGTCTTGAAATTGCTGTTTTATAAGTTTAGGTTGAGATTTTTTTTTGGCTAATTTTTGACAAGTTTCAGAGAAAGTTATTTCTGGTTTTTTGCGTTTTGGCCACTCTTTATTAAATATTTTGGCCTAAGACTTACATAATCGTGATCTACTCGTTTTGGGCTTTCCGAAAATATACTATCTGTGAAAAACAGATTAAAAACGAGTGAGATCTGATTTTTTGAAGATTGGCAGTTTTTGACTATTTTTCTAACGAAAAACTGCTTCTGTTTTCACCGTTTTAGAAATAACTTGTTAAAATTTTTTTGTCTAAAACTTATGTAATCATTTTCTACTCGTTTTGGGCTTTCCGAAAATATATTATATGTGAAAAGCAGATTAAAAACGAGTGAGATATTTTTCTTTTTGAAGATTGACAGTTTTTTACTATTTTTCTGACAAAAAAGTGCTTCTGTTTTCAGCGTTTTAGAAATAACTTGTTAAAGTTTTTTGCCTAAAGCTCATATAATCATGTTTTACTCGTTTTGGGCTTTCCGAGAATATATTATATGTGAAAAACAGATTAAAAACGAGTGAGATATGTTTTTTTTTGGAGATTGGCAGTTTTTGACTATTTTTCTAACGAAAAACTGCTTCTGTTTTCAGTGTACTTGTTAAATATTTTTGCCTAAAACTTATATATTCATGATATACTCGTTTTAGGCTTTCCAAAAATATTTTTAGGTGAAAAACGAAATCTTCCAACTTTAAAAACCCTTTTATGATCATTTTTGTCTTCTACCAGAAATTTGTGACATACGTTGTTGCATTAAATGGTAACAACCATATTTCTGATTTCTTGTTCCTATTTCAGATATGGCTGAACAGGAACATGCTCAAATTGCTCCAAGTGGGAGTGATATTGATAGAGGAGCAAAAAGAAATAGTAGAAGAATGCGTTGCAAGAGGATCAAAACTTTAGTTGATTCAGATTCAGAGCCTGAAATCATAAGAAATGATTCAAGGATGAAGCAGAATCTGAACAGAGAATAAGGGCACGTTAAAGGGAAGGCAGAAGACTTCTTGAGGATTTCAAGAAAATAAAAATGTCTACTTTTGACTCTTTGCTTGATTTTCTCAGATTTTTAGGATTAAATTAGATGAAATTCATAGCAAATTAGATTATAATTAATTTGCTTGAATGTGTATGACGCATGCATAATTGATAAATAAGCTTGCGTGATTGTCTCTTAATTACAGACATGGTAACAAAAAGTATTATTGCTAACTTAAACAAAGGTGAGAAGTTAAATGGTGACAATTACGACATTTGAAGTCGTAAGATATGGTATGTACTAGATGAGCATAACACTCTCGAAGGCATAAACCATGTTCTAAGTCAACAAGAACATGGTAACACTGCTCAACACAAAAGAGATCTCGAAGCTTACAAAGCTTGGAAAAGGGTAGATTCCATTGCACGTGGAATCATTGTGAGTTCTATGGTTGATGAACTGATTCGTGAATGTGAGGAATTTCCTAATGCTTATGCCATGTGGGCACACTTACGAGGAACATATGGGGGTACTTCTGTGACCCGCCTTAGACAGTTGACTATCAAGTTTGACACTTTCAAAAAGCGTCATGATAAAAGCATCAAACAGCACCTTAGGGTGATGTCAAACATGATAGTACAACTCAAGAGTGTTGGTCACGTTCTCTCGGATGAGCAAAAGGTTCAGGTAGTGATCCGGTCTCTTCTCAATAGTTGAGAACATTTGAAGGGTAACTTGACCCACAATGAAAGTATAAAAACTTTTCCTGATGTTGCTCGACATGTTGAACTTGAAGACGAGCGGCTTGGTGCTGCTAAAGCTGCTTCCAATACCTTTGTGGCTGAATCTAGTGGTAAAAAGTCTTCAGGCTTCAAGCGTAAGAAAAATTGGAAAAAGAAAGGAAAGGGTAAGGAGACCGAAGAAGGACCCTCTGGAAAAAAAGGACAAATCAAATTCCAAAAAGGGAAAACGATTTTTCAAGAAGAGAGACAAAAGCAAAATAAAGTGCTACAATTTCCAAGTTCTAGGGCATTTTGCTCGTGAATGTACCGAGCCGAAAAGGTAGCATTCCTAAACGCATCTCTGAGTGTTGTGTATGTTTCAAGCACTTCTTTACTAACTGAATCTTATCCTATGTGGATTGTAGACTCAGGATCCACCGACCACGTGAGTCGAGATCGAGAAGAGTTTGTAGAGTTTCGTCGAGTTTCACCTGGATCAAGGTGGATTTATGTATGAAATAATGCTAGACTTGAAGTCAAAGGAATAGGCACTTGTAAAGTAGACTTGCGTGGTGGACGATCTTTGATGTTGCATGACGTCCGATATGCTCCAGAGATTCGACGAAATTTAGTATCTGTCTCTGTTCTATTGGATGTTAGTTTCGATTTGTTTTTTAGTCGCAATGGTGTAAGAATATCTCTAGATAATGTTTTATATGGTTTTGGACTTCGTTATGATCGTTTTATCATTTTAGATTGTAATCTTTCAACTTATGACTATTATGTTGATCGCTGTGTAATGGCATACTATTCTAGTAACAATGATATAGATGTTATTACATGGCATGCAAGATTAGGTCACATAGGGCAAGATCGAATGAATAGGTTGGCAAATGAAGTGCATTTAGGTTCTTTCTCCAAAATTGATATGCCAACTTGTGAAAATTGTCTTGCTGGAAAGATTACGCGTAAACCATTTGGGAAGGCTAAAAGAGTTGTATTCCCATTTCAATTAATCCATTCTGATATTTGCGGTCCAATGAATGTGAGGTCAAGGTTTGGTGCTGCATACTTCATTATATTTATTGATGATTTCACTCGCTTTGGTTATGTCTATTTGATTTCTCATAAATCTGAAGCACTTGAGTGCTTTAAAAGATATATGAATGAAGTTGAAAATCAATTAGATAAAAGTATAAAGGTTTTAAGAACCGACCGAAGACGAGAATATTTGTCAAAACAATTTGAAGAATTATGTACTGTAAAGGGCATTATCAGACAGTTAACTACTCCTTATACACCTCAACAAAAATAGTGTAGCTGAAAGAAGGAATAGAACATTATTGGACATGACAAGATCAATGATGGCGCAGGCAAATTTGTCTATCTCTTTCTGGCGAGATGCATTATTGACTGCGGCCTACATATTAAATAAATTGCCTTCTAAATCAGTATCTTCCACTCCTTATGAACTTTGGACTGGTCATAAAACAAACCTGAATGATCTACGACCTTGGGGTTGTGCTGCATATATTAAAGATCGTTTTGGTGAGTTTAGTAAACTTAGTCCAAAAGGAAAGAAATGTATCTTTATTAGATACTCAGAACGCTCCAAAGGGTATGTATTCATTGATGAATTGGAGGATGGAAGTATTACTGAAATTGTATCACGAGATGTCAGATTTTTGGAAAATGATTTTCCCAAAAAGGGTGAAATAAATGAAGGTGAGCCTCTCTACGAAATGTTGAATTCAGAAGATCAGATAATGTCGTCAGACATACTTGATAGATCAATGGATCAAGAAATGGTTCCTGGTTCAAGTGGGAGTTTTGAATCCCAAAATCCTATAGAGGAATTTGAACTTCAATTACGTAAAAGTACAAGAAAAGGTGTACCTAAACGATCTTATGAGATTGAGGATTATGTTTTCTTGGTATCTCCAATAGAATTGGATGAACCTAATTCTGTGACTGAGGCTTTATCGAGCCCTAAAAAGGATGAAGGGTTAAAAGCGATGAAAGAAGAATCAGAGTCCATGAAAACCAACAAAGTCTGGGATCTAGTTGGCCTTCCTCAGGGACGTAGAGCTATTGGGAATAAATGGATTCTCGAGGTTAAACGCAAATTGGATGGGTCAATAGAAAGACACAAAGCACGATTGGTGGCAAAAGGTTTTACTCAAGAAGCTAGAATAGATTATGAGGAAACTTTTTCACCAGTTGTGAAGTTTACCTCTATACGATTACTTTTGACTATTGTTGCACGTTTAGATCTGGAATTACACCAAATGGATGTGAAGACCGCTTTTCTCAAGGGAGAACTAAACGAGAAAATCTACATGGAACAACCTGTAGATTTCGTTGTTAAAGGCCAAGAAAAGAAAGTTTGTAAATTGAAAAAACCAATTTATGGCCTTAAGCAATCTTCAAGGCAGTGGTACCTGAGATTTCATAAGGAGTTGATTTCATTTGATTTCACCATGATCGATGAAGACCATTGCATCTATGTGACAAAAGTCAAATGGATCGCTTTCGTTCCAAAAAAATGTTTTTGAGTCTATCTCAAGAAACATACATAAAGAAAATTTTGGAAAGCTTTCGAATGAATAGTTGCAAGCCTATGGATACTCCAATAGCAAGAGGTGAAACTTCAAGCCTTGAAATGTGTGTCGCGTCCCTTTTTCTCGTGAAATCGGGTTTCGACATTTGACAATTCCTTTGACAGGGTAGGGAAAAGGAATTGATCAGAGTCGCCACCTAACGGGTTAAGGTGCGTTAGGGCACCTATAGCAAATAACTCAGATTGTACTAGTTTACATCACTAGAGATCGGGTAAGGGCTCGAAATTACCTTGAGAGGAAGGTGTTAGGCACCCCTCGAGGTCCACAACGGTGGGTCCTGACCGAACTTAACTTATGAATTAGTCTAAAGAAGCGAGATGATTATTTAATAGGGATGGGGGGTCCTAAATCTTTTAGCCTAAAGGATCACCCCATACAACATAAATAATGCTTTGTAACTCCCTCCAGTCGGGGTGTTACTCATATTATTCAGCGGGCACAGACTATCATCTCCTGCTACCCGATTACTATCTTTAAGTTGTTACTTAAAACACTCTAGTTGATTCTAGTTCGTTTCTTATGCGTGCACTACCCGTCCCTTACCTATAGTCCTGGAGGCATTAGGATTTCTATTTTGGGGTGGTTCTAGACTAAACCTAGGCTGCTCAAAAATGTAAAAGACTAGGCGACAAGCAAAACAATTAGGACTTTTAGATAAAGAGCAGATACGGGCTCATATTGACCCCCACACATAAACAGCAAATGCACGCAATTGATTAGCAGGTTTTATTAATCGCAGAATCCTATAGACAGGATATCTATGTGAGAAGACAGGCGAGCAGTAATATACAAAATCAGTTCCATTAATGCGAGTGTTAAGGCCTATTATTTTGCCTACTGATTTTATTTAGTACAACATCTAGGCATTTCATGCAGTGAGGAATAACAGTAAATCACAGTTAGAAATCCAGAATTGTGGTTTTAGTCCTATAGGCAGGTTGTCTAAGTGATTGACAGGGGCGGTTGTGTTCAGAACCCATTTGCAGAATCCTATAGGCATGATTTCTATCATTGAACTGATTTTTATCTTATAGGTATGATATGTATCATAGAACTGATTTTTTAACCCTATAGGCATGATATCTATCATTGAACTGATTTTGATCCTATAGGCATGATATCTATCATTGAACTGATTTTAATCCTATAGGCATGATATCTAATTGAATAGCAGACGGGCAGAATTTAGACACATTGTCAGAAAACAGTTGAGTCAAATATCGATCCTATAGGTATGATTGCTAACACACTTTATTAGACAAATTAACGTATCCTATAGGCAGGATTTCTAACAAAAGTTGTAATATTAATCCTATAGGCAGGATTTCTAATACAAATGTCATACAATTTTAGCAGAATCAGCATCACCCATAAAAGTCCTATAGGCAGGATTTCTAAACAACATAGAACTTAACGGTTTTGGACAAAATGAGCAGAATTAACAGCATAAATGAAACCTTATAGGCAGGATTTCTACCCAGTTTAACAAAAGAAATGAGAAACCCTCCCGATTTTACTAAATACCCCAGAATCTGTTTATTACAAAGTTATTACAGACCAGATTAGCAAATGAATTACACGATAGTAATGGCACAAACTATAGGGAGCCTTCATCAGGCCTAAATACACCTAGGCAATCAGGCCTTCAAACCATTTTCACCTCGAGAGTTATTTCACAGGTACAACATAGCCAGAAATGAGTAATTCACCCATAGCACATATAGAATCAGGTTTCCAATGTGTTAAAGTTCCTAATGGCCTCAGGGACCCAAGGCAATGCTCACGCCAGAACCACATACTCAGAAATGATTCAAAAGAGATTAGGAACCAGTTCCCAGTGTGTCAGAGTTCACAAGAGTCTCACATGGACCCTGAGCAGTGCTCACTCTAGGGTGGTTGAGGAGACCTAAAGGACTAAGATTGGGAGTTTTAAAAAGAGTAACAACATATAAAAAGAGGTAGGGACAGATTTAAAACAGTTTGGATTTCTCAGAAGGAGACTACCATAGTAGAATTTTTAGAACACAAAACATGTAGGCATAATGACATTAAGAAAACAAGCAAGGGTGGCAAAGTACACAGTTTCAAACAGGTTAAGTCAGAAAAGACATGATTACTCTAAGTGTGCATGCTAACATTTAGGACAACCTTGTTTAATCACAGAAATATTTAGGCAGAGTGTTAAGGCAAACAGTCAGATTATCACATGAATCCAGAGGGATATGAATTAGATAACAATACAAGTCTGTAAAGTTAGGATTGATTAACTAATTCCATACTAGTAGTACCCTAAGGATACTAAGTTCTGAATAATTTCAGGACTAGCAAACAGTATGCATGAGACAAGTTAAAACAATAAGTTATCCTTTAAGAGGATTCATATTATTTAAAGATAACCAATCTCAGAACTAACAGTATCAACTATAGGACTAAAAGAGAATCATATAGACAGGCAGAATCATGCTCAGAACGGACTTTAAACATGCTGGATTGTAAACATAGTTCAGGGATACATAGAGATGAAATGACAAAGGATAGTCACTCACCAGTTAAGAAAACAAACCAGAGTAATACCACAGAGTCGAGAATCCAGAATATTTGGCCTTGGCTTTCAGCCGGCCAAGACCAGTAGTAAACAAGAGAGAGCAGAAAGATTATAGGACTAAGCCCTAGATTTCTTAGTGAGAATATTGAGAGTTCGAGTCTTCCTAAAGGGGAAAGGGAGAAGGGTTTAAATAATGTTCCATTAGGCGAACAAATAAGGGAAGTAATCAAACACATATAAGTAAGGAAAGAAATTAATCACAAAATAAATAATACAACAACAACAACAATAACAACATACCCAGTAAAATCCCACTAGTGGGGTCTAGGGAGAGTAGAGTGTACGCAGACCTTACCCCTACCCCGAAAAGGGCAGAGAGGCTGTTTCCAGGAGACTCTCGGCTCAACAGGAAAGGCAGTAATATCAGAAAAGAAATAAGAGAAAAGACATGTAACAATAAAAAATACCAGAAAGAAAATAACCCAAACAAATAAGTGAAAGGACAATAAGACAAAACTATGCAAAACACCAATGTGAATACAACAAAGACCGCTAACAAACCTCACGAAACTCTAACAGACTCCCCGGTACCAAGAGGGAAGAACTCTCGACTACCCCCTAGCCTACCATCCTAATGCTCGACCTCCACATGTTCCTATCAAGAGCCATGTCCTCGGAAATCTAAAGTCGCGCCATGTCCTGCCTGATCACCTTGCCCCAATACTTCCTAGGCTGCCCTCTGCCTCTTCTCGTACCTGCCAAGGTCAACCGCTCACATCTCCTAACCGGTGCATCTAGGCTTCTCCTCCACACGTGTCCGAACCATCTAAGCCGCGCTTCCTGCATCTTATCGTCCATGGGAGCCACGCCCACCCTCTCCCGAATATCTTCATTCCGAATCTTATCCAGCCTAGTGTGCCCATACATCTATCTCAACATCCTCATTTGTGCTACTTTCATCTTCTGGATATGTGAATTCTTGACTGGCCAACACTCAGCTCCATACAACATGGCCGGTCTAACCACCGCTTTATAGAACTTACCTTTGAGTTTCGGCGGCACGTTCTTGTCACACAGGACTCCAGACGCCAACCTCCATTTCATCCACCCTACTCCTATACGGTGCGTAACATCCCCATCGATCTCCCC